AAAAAAAAAGGGGGATAATGGGTGAGTGATTCATAAAAATACTATGATATGCAGATGGAAAGTGGTCTTCATTTAATCACAAAAACATTTATATGCAATTTTAAAGCAAAAGGAGATGGATGAGCGAACCTTAAGCTTTTATGGGGGGTGCACGTGCACCCTGTGCTCCCTGGAAACGACTTCTAAATTTAAAAGATATCCATATCCGACAATAGTTTCTGGTCACCATGGTTACGCAACAGTAAACAACTAATAAAACTCTGCACTTTATCTTACCTCATTCTGAAGAAGACTACAACAGCGTAGACGAAAATTCTTTCAACACATCGTGCTTCAAACCGGAAAAAACCTCATGTACGATCATAGTTGAGTTACAGATTTAGTCATCCAAGACGGAAGTACTTTCATTGTTTTCAGGATTTAAGACGATTCATTGGATTAGAGATAAAACTAGTAGACTCTCTTCAGCAGTTTCAGAAAAGAAACACGAAAAAAGGACACCTTTCACGTACGCGAATACCATCTTACAATAATACTTATCGTATCTTTATATCACATATATACTAGGGGTTAGATATGCAGATAATGTTATTAAGATTCAACGTTATCTCTGTCATTTCACACACCCATATTAATGACGTCACGTCTCGATGACCAAAATCCACTAGAGGTATGTAGGAGTATTCTTATTTGCGTCCCTCGCTTTGAACGACTTCACGAGTCACGGACGTCTTTACTAGTGGTTTTGCCACTGTATAATTTCTTCTGCCTCAGCCAGTACGGACCCCAAAAAACTTTGTTCATATTGACTGGGATACACAAATATGTCGAACGGAGGAGTTGACATCCTGACCAAGACGCCTAAACGCGTAAGTGGTCAAGTTGCGTGTTGTATTTTTAGTTTTGTATTTTGCTTTCTCTTTCACTTGAAAACCACACGAGTGTTGCGCATTTTTTTTCTTTCGCTTCTTTAGTCGTGCTATATCAGGCAGCATTCAAATGTAAACCTCTTAAAAAACGACCAAAAATACCGAAGTATTGAACGCCTCATAAATATATTAAGATTATGAATACTTCAACGAGTGATGGTAAGCAACAGGGCATACAGAATTCAAAGGTAAAGAAGCCTAAATTTATTTTAACTGAGCGGAGAAGGAGTTCTAGAAGAGCTTCATCTTGACCAAAATGATGTATTATCAAACTCGTTTGATTGGCAGTAAGAAAACTGGATTATAATAGATTTTATTTAGAGTTGAATATAACAAGTCAAGAGCCGTTTCTATAGCACAACCAACAGCTGCTATACAGAACAAAGAAAATATATGTGTAGTCTAGCCAGAACATTTATTTATACTTTAAATCTAAAGAGCGAACTCTCAAAGTAGCAAAGTTAGAGTGTGTTAAGTAAAGGACTTGCCGGTAATCGAAATTAGTACAAAATGGTTCAATCTCACTAACCGTACTCGAATCTTATTATCACACCTAGTAAAATCGTCATTACATGAAATACTAGCGTGACCTGTTCTAAAAATATCACAGAAACAGCTCCACAGATACATCGTATCCGACTGTCCTGTTGTAGAGGGGAGCTAGACTTTTGGGAATCTAAACGATGGATTTTTCTAAAGGTTTTTAGCGARTAACAAGTTGCACCACGCGTAAACTGAAGTCAAAGACTGAGGTCATGGAAGATTAATTCTCACCCGTAGAGTAAAGTGCTAATTTGATTGAGTTTTCCTAGTCGTTGTGTACTTCCGAAAAATATTACAATTTATACAAATAATCTTTACAGTCAAGTGGTTTATGAAAAGACTCGGTGATTAAATATAATATTTGAAGACAATATTTTAAAGTTATGGGTTACGAAAATGAAACTGAGCTAGTGGAATAGAATATTTTTAATTTTTATAATAATTTTTTCTTTCGATGTTCAATGTTGAAAACATGAATATTATGAACTGATACCACGCTAAAATAATTCAATAGTTTGTTTGCATTGAACTAGAGAATTGGTTTCATAATTAACTAAGAGCAAAGCTGTTTATTTTAAGAGCTAAAATTTATTCCTCGCGGGGTCATCAGACCAACTCGATGACTCTATGCCTCACCCTTGACAGTTTGGTACTGAGTGGGGTAGGGTGGGGAGAATGTTGGTACTATTACCCGTAATGCCATGGGAAGCGAGGGCGCCTAAAACTCTTCAAGGTCGCACTTGTGCGGCGGAGCCGAGGTTTTTTAAAATAACAATATACTAGTCTTTTTTCTGCCCTGATTTCTCACGAAAGCACAAAATAACGTCCCTTAGACTTGTGCTCGAGGAAAAAAGTTTGCAGAATGTCAGGTAAAATGGACCAACAGATCGATCCACTGGCTTTATATCGCCCAAAAAAGGTAAATAATTTGGTCTTGTCCAAGAAAAATGCTTACTACGTACGAGGACGCTTATCAACCTGTCCTCTAAAAATCTTTCAATGTTTTCAAGGCTGGTTTGTTTTACCACAGTTGATTACTTTATCAAGACTTCTAGTTAGGGTTAAGGCTAACAAATTATATTTCGATCTACAAAGGTACATTTCGATTGGCTTCGTCGTGATACAACCTACTGGGTTTCCACTACTTCTTCGTTCGCTTGGTTTACTCGATATTCTGACAGGTTTTGTCTGTTTCTATTTAAGGCATCTAAAAATCATCTGACAAAAACTGGATTTTTATTTTTCAAGGGTTTAAAAATCAGAGGTTGTATTCATCGTGCGAAACAAATATTCAAAATCCCACGTTGAATTTGCATCGTAAATTTTGAGCTGATGATCCAAGGCTTTCCAAGCTACACATCGATCTTATTTACTTAAATAATTTAAACTAATTTTTCTTCTGTTAAACCTGAAGGTATTTTTCAAAGTCTTTTTGAAAACCTCGTTTCGTTCTACAAATCTTTAAATGCTCATCACCTTGACCCATATTTCAGAATTGGGTTTTTATTTTTCGGAATAAATTATTTATTAGAGTGCGTTGTCATCGTTATGTGATAATGATAATAAAGAAGAAAATTCCATTTATGACTTTTGAAGTCCACAAATCGCTTAGTTTTACATTTATCTTAGCAAAAAAGCATAGTTGACAGTGTCTTTTACCCAAATGATCAACGGTAAATTTTTACAGAGCAAATAAATGGGGGAACAATGATGTTTCCCATTTATCCTTTATTTCCTGTATCTTTCCAGACCGTGATTGGCAGAGTACTTAATGGCTTTTTGGCAGGTTATTCTACTTACTATAGTCTAGACTGCATTAAAAATGTCAATATTTGATCATTCCTTTTTCATTTTAGTTAAAATACTCAAGGTCATTTTTATGATGGATTATTTTTGATTTGAATCATTTTTCATTTTATTCTAATAGCCATGTTTTCAAATCAATTAAAGCAAGATTCACAGACAACACTAATTTGAATAATCTTCATGGAATCTTTGTAGTGAAGTAATACTGTAAATCCTAATCATCTGTCAACTTTCATAAATGGGGATTTTCAGAGAAGAATACCCTGCTTTATTTCTGTAATGTTACTAATGTTTACTATTTTTACACTGATTTACCTTGAAAACGAAGGTGTGTCTCTTCACATCTAGACATGATAATTTATTTCCTTTTGGTTCTGAATGCAAGATGACGTCTGGCTTGTTGTTGATCTGTTGGACGAAAATACCCATATTAGGAATAAAACAATAATTTGGCTTCATTCAAATCAAAATATGTGGGAAAATTCATTTTATCCATGAATAACAATATGATTTCTTGCTAGAATTTACTTCGCTGGATAATTTGTTTATACATCCATTACGTTTTGTCTAAAATGTTTTATGACAAATATATCACAGTATGGTCCTAGATTTATAGCATATTAGAATTTATGTTACATTATTGCATTATTACTGTATGTTCACGTCTGATACGGCACTGGTAACCTTTCTTTAATGGTCGTTAAAAAATATAATAATTGTTATAATGTCTGTAAAAATTACAATTTAGTATTTAATGAAAAATTTGAGTAAATGTATGAAAATGTTTTATATTTATGAATCAGCAGGTTACCTGGACTAACTCATCAAGCAATTTTTTAGGTTTTAGATAATTGCACGATGGGAAGATCTAAATTTGCATAACAGTTCTTGACACATATTGCCCATAGGAAATAATATTTATTTATAAACTCAATCTTCATCTGACAAAAGACTAATGCCCTAAAATATCAATATAGTTTTGAACTTTTTTACAGCTGTAGGTACCACTTTTTAGATTATAATTTTCTTGATAAAAATTAGATACAAGCACTATAAGTGTGCAACATAAATACCACTAAATACTSCTAAATWATGCTAATCCTATTGTTTTCTATTGTTTTATTAGCACTTTTTACTACTAAATAGTGCAAAGTGTTGCACACTTTTAGTGTTTGTACTCTACTAGAACCAAAAACAAGTAAATTTTCATTACACCTATTTTGATGCACACAAACAACAATTAATGCAGTCCTGTAATTAAATTTTGGAGTTTAATACTAGATTTTTGGCTTTAGTCCATGAAACAATGTAAAAAAATTTATTTAGATTATTTTGTCAAAATTTGATTGACAAATGCCAAAATTCCAGACATTTTGAATAATAACTAGTTGTTTGGGTCAGACAATATGGAAATGGTACATTATTCCCCATAGCAAACAAACTGTTCTAAATCTTCAGCCAGTTTTATCAAGATCATAACAGTCCAGCTATAAAAACACCCACATGCCAATATAGTTCTTGTGCTGCAGGGTGAATGTAAGCTTTCGGCTTTGACAAAATACTTTTTAAGTTCCCATATGTAATTTTGAATACTGAGAATCTATCTTTGTTTATTTCCAGTATGTTCCTCTTCACGAGAGAGATGCAGGTGCTGCATGCCTGAAGTGTGGACCAGAAGGATGTGAGGGAGGACTTGATCTGCATTTCTGGAGGTAAGCAGATTTCACGGAATTTTGACTGCTCTGATTCTGAAGTTTGCTTGCAAATTTCCAAGTTGGTCGAACTTGTGAGCTTCAGTGTGAACTTGGTTCAATGAACTGTGACTTGTTTATGTCTAGAATTCAAATATTTATTGGAATTGTATCTTTACAGTTGATTTCATAAAACTTTGGCCACTCCTTGTCTGAAGTTCATTCGCAAGTTCACAACTTTGTAATCAATTTCACTATGAAGTTCCGATGGTTGTCGGCGATCTTTCAAACTGATAATACATTACATGTAGCTTCTAAAACTCATCAAATCTATTTTTCAAATTCAATTTTCAAAGTAAATTTTATTGCAACAAAAGGAATTTGACTCTGTATGTTGTCTGGAATACAATTTTTGAAAAGTAATATGGTTTAAAGAAGCAATTCCAGTAAATATTTGAATTCTAGACATAAACAAGTCATGGTTCATGATTGAATCAATTTCACAAAAAGTTCGCAAGTTCGGGACCAACTTGGAGAACTTGGGAACTAACTTCGGAATTAAAGCGGCTGAAGTTTTGTGAAACCAACTGTTAACTAATACTTTTTGAAAATTAAAACGTGGGACAATTATCCTAGTTTGCAAGCTTAGTATTAAGGTCCATTTCAGACATCAAACTTTTGCCACTTGGGATCCAATTGCCTTTGAGGCCAGAGACTAAGAAAAAAGTATTCATTTGTTTTGTTAGAGTATTCATTTCTCACTGAATTATTGAAGGATAAACAAAAGACTTTGGCCAAAAGGGAAGTGAAATCCAAAGTCAGTGCTCCGAGACTCATCTCCCTTTTGTGTTCCTTGCTTCTGGGATTCTACATTCAAAATGCTGTACTAAACACATTCTCCCAGCTCACTCATATTTTCCATGTAAAACATTACTATTCAAAGTTTTATTTTCCCAAAATACTTGGAGGGGAGATTTGAGGACATGAGAGAATTTCATATCCCTAAATTTACAGTTGCTGTAATTCCTAAAGAATATGATTTATATTTACATAAGTGCTGTGCTCTTCACTCAGTCATTTACATATAAACCTAGCATGACTTACTATCATGATTACCACAGGTCATTCTATTCTGGCCTTGTAGCTCAGCAGTAGAGCATAAGGAGTACATATCGAGGGTCATGGGTGCGACTACTCCAACCAAATTAAAGCCACCTCGACAAATTTTCTACAAATTAGCCAATCAAAAGTAGGAATGTGAACAATAAAATTGCTACAAATTGGACAAATATCCATGGGTTTACATGGCTGAGAAGACTGCCGGCACCTTTGTTGTCAAATATAAGCGTGCATCTAGCAAAATGGTGATAACATCTAACAGTGTCAGCCTGATCATATCTTTGTCTGGAAGAAACAAACTGTAATCATGAAGATTGTGGTTTAAATACGGTTTCTAATTTGCTTTCGTCGTATTTTAAGTCGTACATTACTAATTTTCTCTATCTTTGGCAACACAAATCACTAATTTGCGAAGAAAATATGTTACAAGCTCTTCTTCATCATTTAGTTTTACCAACCGGAAAGACGGAAGAATATCTGAATTCAAAATTTGCTGCTAATCTATTGTCTAAATACTCAAACAGTATTGGATAATTTGTAGAAAATTTGTCGAGGTGGCTTTGGTTGGAGTAGTCACACTGTAAACCTATCAAAGTCAAGAAAAAGTTATTGTGAGAGCAATGTTGTTGTTGAGTTTCTTTAGCATTACAACTTAACTTTACATTTCTAAATTTACAGAAAGATCTGCAAGACGTGTAAATGCAAACCACAAGACCATGACATCAAGAGTTCAGAAGAAGAAGCACACAGGATGGTGGTGGGGAGTTTGTTCAACAGAGATTCAACTATCAGCCATGTCAGGGATTACTTTGACAAACTAGACAGAGCAGATAAACAAGTCAAGACAGAATATGTCAAGAAGTTCTCCTGGGTTCCACCAGGACTCAACCAGGCTACGGTAAGTACAGTGAACTAGCTGTGGGCTGGTTGTTGACTGTGAAATACCATTGCACATAGCAGTGTTATGGGCAGGACTCAATCACTTCCATACTACGAGGCTTTAGTGTTCATATTAAATGTGCTTCCTCTAATTACAATCTACTTGACAACCTGCTATCATTCTACTCTTCCTTCTGGCAACCTATACCAACAATGATTTTAGAGTTTCAGGGCTTGGTCATACTTCATTTCTGGCCCCAATGGTTCTGGTTAGAATGACCAGCAAGGGAAATATTTGACCAGACAAGTTCCAGTTCTGGTCATACATTGTCTGATGAATGGCCCTTATTTTAAGCCCTGGGTAACTCTACCTCACAGTGGTAGACTATTACATGGTCAAGACATCCCTTGAGTTCATTCCACAGGTGAAGGACTACAGTCTCATCCAGCACACACTTCAGACATCATACTTACACTGATACACCTCCCTTGCTTGCTAGGTCAAAGATTCAATCCCAACATGTAAAATCGATTAGCTGATGTATGCAACACAAAAAATAAATTTTCCTTGAAAATTTTCTACACTTCATAGAAAATGCAGTAAACAGTCTGATAGATGTGTTGATCATCACAGTGAATGAGCGATCTAAGCAAATGCTGTAAAGAAATGCTGGAAACAGTCAGTCAAAAAACCTTCAAAACAGCTATAAGATTCTTTTCTTATTATTTTTCATCTTCATTCTAGAATTTTTTGCATTGTTTCACAAATAAACAGAAGGAATTAGCTAATTATTATTTAAAGAGTATTAGTTCTGAATTGAACTTTTTTTTCCATAAACAGTTGGTCAAGTACATGGATTCACTTCCTCCTGAAAGACGACCAATGGTTGGTAGTGAGGGTGCCAAGTACCGTCGTCAACAGATGGTCTATCAGCTCCCGATCCATGACCATGACGAGAACTACTGTGACAATCTGACAGATGCAGAGAGAGAGAAAATGAGAGAGTTTTGTAAGATGCGTAATGACAAATCTCTGGGTGTTGGTGATATCAGAGAGAAAACTGTGGGAACACCAAAATGGGTAAGTTTTGGTAGAATTGTAACTTTGTTTCCAGAAATCTTTAAATGAGAAGATAAAAAGAGGGGGAGGGTGAGGACAAAGCCCTCCGTGGTAAGTGTTCTGTCATTTCATCTGAAATAAAACATTCTGAAATGCTTACTTAAACCCTTACAGGAATGTCATCGTTGTGGTAAAGGCATGGCAAATGGTGAGATTGCAGTGTTTGCTTCCCGTGCAGGGGAAGAGAAGTGCTGGCATCCTGGTTGCTTCGTTTGTTGCATGTGCAATAACCTTTTGGTAGACTTGATCTACTTCTACAAGGAAGGCAATATCTACTGCGGCAGGCATTATGCTGAGCAGTTCAAGCCAAGATGTGCTGCTTGTGATGAGGTGAGTTGCTAAATCATACTTGAATCTGCTGAAACTGTTGTTGGTAAAGGTTGACCTATTTGGCTGTTGATCATGGCTGGCAACTGACCAACCATTACTTTTAGCCCTGCTTCTATATTCTTAGCTTTATGTGCTATAAAAGTATGTCTGAGAGTGGAAAAGAATGATCAGGGTTATTGTTAATGGTTATAAAACTGATCATTTCATATTTGTTACCCCAAAAAACACCAGAATGCACAATGTATTGGATTATTTCAGGCATAAGCGTAAAGGTAATAGCCAGTCAATAAACAATATTTGGTAAAAACTGGCACTTGTCTGGCCAAACGCCTCTCAGGCTAGTTATCTTGGTCATGCGTTGATCAATCCGATGCAGCCATTCATCATGTCTAGCTATTGAGGAGGCATTATTTTCAGCCCTCTTATTTTCACTTCCTATAGATGAAAGTCATCAAAGACTGAATAAATACTTAGATTTTTAAAGATCAAAAACACCAATAAATTTTAATAACTTTAATAACAAAAAATATGAAATCGAAAATATTGTTCTGAAACTTTACTTTGAAATCGTAGTTGATCTTCTCTGAACAGTACACACAAGCTGAGGACCGCAACTGGCATCAACGCCATTTCTGCTGCCTGGAGTGTGACAAGGATTTAGGTGGCATGTTGTATGTCGCTAAGAATGGCCAACCCCACTGCTTGGAATGCTATGACAAATTCTATGCCAAATCATGCAACACATGCAGAAAGAAAATTGCTGCTGATGGGCAGAGAATTGAGCACGATGGTGTATTCTGGCATGCTGATGAAGCATGCTTCAACTGCGCTTACTGCAGGCGCAACTTACTGGGTCAACAGTTCCTGAAGGCCAGAGATAATGTGTTTTGCTCCGTAGATTGTGCTAAATCACACATGAATCTCCCTTAGTTGCTACTAGTTTGGACCTTTCTCTAATTTGCTTCTTTGATGGGGTCACCTTAAAACCGGGTTAATACCTGAGGATACACTTAAGATCATGGTTTTAGATGCAAGCAAGCTAGGGAGAGGTGTATTATCTTAGACATGGCAAGTTAAGAAGCTAGGAATTTATTCAATTGATTGACTAAGCTCTTCTCTTTTTATCAAATCAAACACGTTAGTTTTTTTAGACTGATTACAGAGTTATAGTTTCATGTTGTACTGTTTTGTATTTTATGCATACATAAGAGTTTAATAATAGAATATACTTTTGACCAGGAAAACAATTTTTAAGAATAGTTATCTTTATTATAGTACTGTTCAATCAACACTTCTCTGTGACTGTATTTCGTTTTAAATTAAGTTTAGTTTTACGGCAGAAATGAGAAAACTTGTGTTTTCTTTATAATTGAAATCAGTTGTGAACTCTTGATTACCATTATATTTTCCTAACTTCTTTTTAACAATGATCTATAAAATGTGAATAGCTTGTTACTTGTTTTACACCATAGCATGAATTGACAGAATCGGAAAACCTGGACAAATCATAGAACAGTAATACAGTAATTTATGTTACGAATTAAATTGTGTTAGCAATAAACAATATTGGAACTAGACTGTTTTCATGTTTTTAAATCCTTTATTCCCTCCCCATCTTCACCTCCTACAATCGAGAAAGTTTAACCATTCAACAAGGCAAACTTTTCCTACATAGCTGAGGGGATGGGGTAATTGAGTGAACCCAAATTTATTTTTAATTAGTAGTTTCTGTTGCTACGACGGACAAGCTACAATGTGTTTTTGATACACCTATTTCAAAAAACGTTGGTCAAAGATCTGAAATCTGAGACCGTAAGGAATTGTGGGTTGTAAGCTGTAAATTGTTTGTGGTCTTGATTAGTAGGTCGCAAAAAGTTAAAGTGCTTATAAGCCTTGCACAATATTTTCAGAATTGATTCTTTAGATAGTGAATAGTTGATTGTGAAAATATTTCGTCATTTGAATGTCGGGTCTTTGAGATACGAAGGTTTATATTCCCAATACGTTAATGACTATGACTAAAGGTAAAAAATCCCCCAATCAAAAGTCTAGAAAACATCACGGTCGCAGCAAGCCACGCATACGGCACCGACCTTTTTACAGTCAAACGAAACCCGTTTTAACAATGACACCGCATGCGGCAAATAAAGTGATCCTACAAAATTTGACGGAGAAGATGAAGCCCGGGAGATGAAGGTTACACAAGACTGATCCCCAAGTATTGTCCCCGCATCTCCCATCTCCTCACCATCTTCGCGGGTTTGAAATAGCTTTGGCGTAACTGAAATCACCACTTCGTCGACCATGCGAGTTCAATACTTCCTCAGTTCGTAAGAAAATTTAACATCTTGTGATATGGTGGACTTTTTCCAATTCCAAGTAAGTGTCAACCCTTTCCGCTACTCCCGGATTCTCTACTCACTTCGCTTCCATGCTCACCTGCAGATTAGCGAGTGTTTTCAATGAGATAGCAAGAGCGACTTGGCTTTAGCCTAGTCCCTTTAACTTTCTCAAGGAAAAGAAAGTACTTTCTTATTATCAACACTTTTTTTACCTTTACGTTTCCGGTGAAAACCATACCGAGTCTTGACTGACCGCCACCGCACTCGTCCGACAAAGGYTTCGGTAGTTTTGAAGTGAGTAAACAACGGTCACCGGCAAAGGACGTTCGTTCCGACAAGCTGAAGGGATGGGAAAAAATTGAGATAAAAAATGTGGTCACCATAGCTGCAAGCTTGCATTGCAAGTTGTGCGCATGCGTCTAGTCCAACAATGGTATTGTTTTACGCCAACCCTCGCATTGATGACATGTTGTAGTAAGTACCCAATGGACTAGATTTAGGCCCCGTCCACACTATGCCGAATCCGCAACTTTCACACTGAAAGCGAAAAAAACAGTCTTACGTCCACACATAAAAAAGAATAAAATTTGTTTCGCGGCCACAATAGTCTGATCAGAGGCGGCAAAAACGCTTCATTGCACATCTGAGTATGTGCATCGAAGCTGAAATTGAGCCCGCGGTGAATTTTTAGCTTTCCCGCCATGTTCCCATGACAATCATGACGTCATCGAATTCGAAAAATTTCGGATACGAAATGTTCTCCTTCCACACTAATACGGCTAGCCGGCGTTTTCAAATTGTTCCACTCTGGAGACCGCATTCGAAAAAAAAAACCCGTTTTCGATGAAGAATTGTTCCGGATTCGCCCGGACTAGTGTGGACCGAATAGTTAAAAAGTCGGGTTCAAATTTATCCGGCATAGTGTGGACGGGGCCTTAGTTCAGACTACTAACATTCCATATACCCGTTTTTTTTAATTTGCACAAATTAGTAAGTTCAGTAGACCGTAGACCTACAAAACGTTGCACTAATTTGGACAATTTTGTTAGTTAACTTTTTCACGGTAAGCACTTTATATGCACTTTAGCATCTGATGTTAATATGCGCCTCTACAAAAGGAGTAAACGCGAACGATGTAGCCGTGACTGAAAAAAATAACGCTGTCTCGATCGTTTGTAACTGTGCTACTGTAAAGGTGCCAAATATAATTCAGTCAACAATGGTATCAACTTCATTTTTCCGCCCCTCTCTCATTAACAGGACGTTGTAAAATAAGGAATCACTGGACTGGATTGGGAGTTCATTCAACTGTCGTTCGAGGTCCAACAAACCAGCTATATGGCTCTGAATGGCGGGCACCAGATACAAAACTGCAAGCACAATTAGAAAAAGATGACATTAGGAAATATTTCAAGCTTTTAATTCTATTGTCGTATGGCTCGTTCTACAAAGAGTTCTAACCAACGTTCTGCGTATGATTTGCGGACTATTCCATAGTTATTCCAAGCTTTTTTTTACKGTTTGATCAGAAAGGAAGGTCAGGATATTAACTCGTTGCTTCACTTGGAACAAGCTGGTTTCAAATTCTTTTCTATCAATGCGTCAAAAAAGATCTTAGCGCGTCAAAAAAGATCACCTCAGAACAAACAATTCTTCCATATCTTATAAAATGTCAATCACTTTTTTGAATAGTTTAAAGTATGGTAATTGACTTTTTCACCCACTCTATTTATCATCACCTATCGACTGAATACCAAACTTGGAGCGACTGACTTCAGCTATTATTGGATAAACTTCAAAGCTGTGAGGTTACTAGATCGGTAGGGTTTCTGAGTTGAAAATTCAGGTTGTTATGTAGAGCTCCTTGATAAGTGACTGTTACAAGAGTTCCTAGTTTAGCTAGCTATCGCTATGACGCCCCCCCTGTCCCTAACACTAAAATGGCTTCAAAACAAAAGCATTGTGATTGGTGCGGTGTACATTTTGTCGACTGATTTTTGATTGGTTGATATATATATATACTGGAAACCATTTGAAAGACACGGATTTGTAGAATGTGCATTTCCTTTTCATACAAATTCTGCTCGAGTTTCTCGTGAAATAACTGTGCAAATTTATGACAGTAAGCACTGCGCATGCGTTCAAGATGACTCGCATGGGCGCCAGTATTCAAACCAACTTAAGTAGTTAATCTAATTTGTGGGTCAAATTAGTTGGGGGCTGGATTAAGAGCAGACGCAGGCAGGATACAACACTGATTTAATAAAGAGCCAGTGCTTTTGGTCTTTCCCACAGTACTTCACATCCCAGGAGGTCTGCCGGTCAGGAATGACCCAGTGTGAACAGAAGTGTTTATAATCTGTCTTATTTACTTGCTTTTAGCAAGGGGTCAATATAAGTCGTGACTCAAACCGAGAACTCCATTGTCTTGACCTCTTTCTTTCTTCGCTTCTTGCTTTACTTATCCCTCCTCCCCAGTGTTCTTTCTCGTGTCTTATTCATTGGATAATGCTTTTTTCATTACAACGGAAAGGCTGGATTAAGGTCCCTTTTGTCAAGGGTTGTACAAGTGACACTAATTGTTGTTGGAGTGCTAAGTATTGTATCTTAGAATTTTACTCAACGGACCGAGAGCTGGATTCGAAGTTTACGTTTTTCCATTAGTCTACCAAAAGGTTTTTGCCACGAAGAGTACATAAGAAAACACGTGGATTTGTCAGGCTAAGAATCAACAAACAGTGCATTACTGATCGTTTAGTCACAAAAACTCAGCACCTCACTCACTTTAATTACGAATTGATGGCTACTACGCTTCAATAGTCTTTCCATTTCCTTAATTTGACGCATTAAAAGAGACGTACAAGGAACAAATTAACATCCCCAAACCACAAATAACCAAATTGCTTTTAATTGGAGGTGATTTAGAGGCATGAAATGTCTCCTGGTTGGTGTCAAAGCTACGACTACTGCGGAAATGTCCTTGACAGGTTGTTTTTCGTTACTTTCAAAGCCCTCTTTATTCGTTCTTTGACTTTAGTAACTCTTATTTACCAGAACTAAAAACATCATCAAACATTCAGTGACATGACCAATCTCTAGACAATTAATTCATTTTGCTCTTAAGACATCGAATCTTAATTAAGCAAACGACGAACAAAGGGAGGAATATGTCATTTCCTCTAAGTAGAGAAAAACAAGTGGGATCGTTTCGTGTTTGGTGAATAATCTATTGGTTGTAATCCAGGTTTTGTTTTCTCTTGACGTTGATGAATTGACAGCTCAAGTCCTGATCTCCGCCCAGCAATACTTAAACTAACAACTTTGTGAAATAGAAAAACACGGGGACAATAGCGTTATGTGATGGAGCTCTTACAGATACAAGTGATCTATCACAATCTTATAGTGGAATAGATGATCGTAGGGCAAGCTCTATAGTGCGCAGGTGAGTGACGGGGTTTCGTTGCTAATGAAGAGACTTGTTCATATAAATAACTTCCTGTTATCTTGCTGGGACTTGATGGCTGACAGGGTTTTACCCTAAGCTGGGATTAATAAACTCATCACAAGTCAGTCAAGACATCAAGGCTTTATGCAAATAGGGATTTACGGTTCATAAGACCAAAGTGGCTTATTTGTTGAGTGCAGTATAGATTCAGACTTTTCTTGGGTGCTTATAGAATATTCCAACCGTCACGTTCCGAGTGGTAAAAGTTTTTATTTTTTTTGGCGTGGGATGGAACATTAGAGAACATCAAGCCTCGTAACAAGATTGGAGGCCTGATAGATGACCTGAGCACAGTACATCACACCAATATCAGTCAGTGTAAACAAGATAAGAAGAGCATGCTTCCATTGAAACTGTTACAGCACTATGGGCTATGGGTATGTATGCAGCCCTCATAGCTATATATATTTTTTAACAGATGAGTTATGGATTAGCAAAACTTATTATCAAAAGCACGTAACTCAGTGTTTGTAATGTTGGAAACATTCAAATCGGTAGAATGTTTGCAAATCTTATGAAATCTGTAGATCTGTGTCGGATACAGAGTAATCATCCTTACCTCTTGCAAAATACATCAAAGTTAGTGGCCTCGTTTTGTAAATTGGTTTCTCTGCATCTAGAACCAATAATACTCTCTAAAGCTAATTAATATTACTTGCGCGATCCCGTGATTGGCAAGTCTTTTTGAGGCTCAACATGGCAAAAGTTATTACTTTGACAGATTGAGGTT